CGGTCTTCTCTACCTTTCTCTCACCTCATCTCTCTCTCTCTCTCTCTCTCTCTCTCTCTCTCTCTCTCCCTCTCCCTCTCTCTTCCCCCACTTACTTCACTAGTCACCCCTCTCTACCTCATTGCTACCTGTCTTCTCAGCTCTCTTGCTGCCCTTTCCCCATCTCTCCAGTGTCTACCCAAGGACCTGTTCATCCAGCTGCGGAAGGTCTTGGATCGGGACAGAGATCTATAGGTTGACCCCCCTCCCTCTTACGCTTCTCCGACTGGCCAAGCCTTTCTTGCTTCTTGGTCTTGCGCATATACCCCTCCCTCCCTGCCCGCCAACTCAATTCAGAAAGTCGTTCGTTCTAAGCTCCTCTACGCAGGCTGACTTCTCTGCCAATTAATCCCTTGCTGACAATTCTTCACTGCAATCTCGCCCCTCTTCTCACGTGGTTAGCGTTCATTGTGAAGCACCCATAATCTTGAACTTCATCGTCATCTTTTTTCCTGTGTCCACAACTTGTGTGAGCTTCAGTGATTCCTCTTTAACTTGATTATTCCTGCTCCTCTTCTGGGGAATTCTTCCCCCCTACTCTCCCGCAATCGCTCGCCCCCCCGGTTCACGCGGAGTTACGGGTCAGCCAATCGATCAAACTCCGCCCGCTTGCTTGTACCTGTGGGTGGCCGCTTACTTGAGATCTCTCGAGTCAAATCGGAACTTCTCGTCGAACCTCAACCTCAATCTCCCTAATTCACACCCTTTCTCAGACGCCCACATCACCACTTTCTCAGAGACCGCGAACGCAATTTCACCAGCAATACGTCTTTATTGCACTGCCACTCAAAATTTATTTCCATCACCATATCAATTGACTCAGGTATGCTTTGATTAATATTCTTACACTCATAATTTCTTTGCTCTTCCCGAAGTCTTGCCGTGGACACTTGTTGTTCGTCTCATTTCCGGAGTGGGTATGCGAGCTTGGGCAGCGGTCTAAAAGCTTTGGTTTTCAGTGGCTAATCGCACTACCCAATTAGTTCTTCGACCCCCATCGTTTCGCAACGCTCCGTTTCCGCGTCCGTGCTCGCCGTGGAGCCCGCATACATCTCTCTCGCCTTCGCCTTTTCTCTTCTCCCTCATTCTTGCTACACTCGGCAGTTCTGCCAGAATACTGCTCTCTGGCTTCTTCACCCCACGCCAGGTGTCTTGAAAAAGAAAGCGATCATACTCCTTGCCCACGGAAAGGATACTTAGCTCATCATGTCGGGGAAAATGACACTTTACAAGCTGGTGGTGCTCGGAGACGGTGGTGTAGGGAAAACGGCTCTCACGATCCAGGTTAGATGCTACCGTGAATGTCTGCGCTCAATGCTCGGCCAACTGACTCTCTTTCGCCTTAGTTGTGCTTGAATCACTTTGTTGAAACCTACGACCCGACCATCGAAGATTCCTACCGTAAGCAAGTGGTGATTGACCAGCAATCATGCATGTTGGAGGTATTGGACACCGCCGGCCAGGAAGAGTACACAGCACTGAGGGATCAGTGGATTCGCGACGGAGAGGGATTCGTACTTGTCTACAGCATTACCTCGCGAGCTTCCTTTTCCCGCATACAGAAGTTCTATAATCAGATCAAGATGGTGAAAGAATCAGCCAACTCCGGATCGCCCTCAGGTGCTAGCTACTTGGGTTCTCCCATAAACGCCCCTTCTGGCCCTTCACTCCCTGTGCCTGTTATGTTGGTCGGCAACAAGAGTGACAAGGCTGTTGAGCGCGCAGTTTCAGCACAGGAAGGACAAGCTCTCGCCAAAGACCTCGGGTGCGAATTTGTCGAAGCCTCCGCCAAGAATTGCATCAATGTGGAAAAGGCATTCTACGACGTCGTGCGCATGCTCCGTCAGCAACGTCAGCAGCAGGGCCGCTCGCAAGACAGGCGGCCGACAGGAGGCGCCCGTGATCCTGGCCCGGAATATCCTCGGTCGTTCCGACCTGACCGCAATGGCAGTCATCGACGTCCATTCAAGTGTACAATCCTATGATTTTGGCCATATACAAACATCCAGCCGAGTGGCTCTATTTCGGACCGTTCAATATCGGTCTAGACCCTGCAAGGAAGCGCAAGACACAATTGCCGAGAATCAGGAAATAGGCCAGTGGCAGGGCTCAGAACCTTCCGCACATGTGACTTTTCTTACGAAAGCCCGTTCAATTCAACTCACGACATCTACTCATTATCGTACCCTTGCTATATTGGCTGCTTGATGCGTCGCCGATCTTCACGGCCTATACGAGAGTGCAGCCTGCAAATCGTTTTCGTTTGCTATGTTATGCTGTATTGAAAGTACCTTTTTCTTTTTGCTACCATGGGTGTACTTTGGTTCACCAATGCAGGCAGAGCATCAGGATATGCTTGATGCATGGATTGCGATTATCCATTCTCTATGTTGTACGCGGGTGATGATTTTTTGGATTCTACCGCAGGGGGTTTTGACTACAGCAGGGTGTTATGGTTCACAGGTTTGCGAATCTAGGAGCTCCTGGTACCAAAGAAAGATTCGCGCTGCATGTGCTCTCTTTCTTGTCTGTTAATTGCCCTCTTTCGCAATAATCTGCGTGTGGTTTTCGTTCTTCCAGTTCTATTCTTATCTTGTTATTTCTATTGCTATTGTGGTTCGATACCCGTTGGCTCCGCCCCAACCTGGATATGAGTTCTGCTTTCAACCCTGCTACAATATGGTGCAATGCAACAGCATGAAAGCGACTGACAACCTTACAAATGGATGAAAGCCACATCAGGGTGGTAGAGTGTGATGGGCGCAATGGAGATTATTGGTGGACATGGGATTTCAATGAATGGTTGTTCGCTTGGAAGACAGCAAAGACATGGCAGTCGACCGTTTAGCAGGAATTGCGATATGATACCCTACGGCTGAACTCTTTTGAGTTGTGCTTTGTTCTGTTCCCCTTTACTTTAGTCCCTCCCCCCCCCCTCTATTTTTCTCCTTTCTGTTCTTAACCCATTGATTTTGCTGTACTCATGTTGACGCATCTGTACCCCCAACAAAAGACCAAAAGAAGACACAATAAATTAAACGATAGAATGCAATGTGGAAATGACACTATGTTCTTCACTGCTGAAGGTCCGTGAGGTTGGCTGCCTTTGAACTCTTGAATATTAGAAGAAGATGCCGTTCCTGCCCCAGGAACAAGTTTATCCGAGCTCTATTCAAGCTCCCGGGCGCTTGCGATGGCGTCATGCAGCACAGCTGCAAATGACATGCTAGCCGTACCGGGGTCAATGGCCATTAGCTACAGCTTACTCCGTACAGCCAGCCCATCGAGACTACCTAGTAGTAGGAGGTAGTTTAAATGGCAATGCTCCGGAGCATGACTGACGGGGGAGAACGCAACTTCCCTACTGCTCATTCTCCCTGCAGCTCTTTCTAGGTGCCCCATGCACGCCGCGATAGAAACTGTGGTGCTACCTAGCGGTAGGCAGGCTTCAACAACTTCCATTCTGAGGCAGTCACACGCAGGAATGGGGTTGTAGCAGTTTAGGCGCTCTGCTTCTTACCGGTGGTGAGAGGAGATGAGTTCATGCCGGGATCCCTGCTCTTTACCTAGTCAGTGTAGTTACTGTACCTTTCGCTTGTGTCTTCTCTGGTTTGTCACCCATTTGTCTGTGTAGCTAGGGTCACTTTGTCAGCCCGATACTCTTTAGCTTGAATACATCATGAGCACTCTGACAAAGGAATAGCCATGGAGACGTTGGTTTTGCAGGTGAAGCATTTCTCCCCATCCTACGCGCTATCAGGCACTCACTGCCCGCATGCCCTCGTCTATTCTTTCTAAACAAGAAAGTGGTGGTGGCTCTAGCACGGATAGCTGCAGCTTTGACAGCGGTCAACTCCCAGTTCCTTGCTTTTTTTTTTCCGGTCTTAAACTTGTTCAGGCGGTGTGCGGGCTTAGGCCCGGCAAGTATCGGTAGCCCACCCAGGGAGATTTTGAATGAACGCTTGGAAACAAGAGAACTTGGGCCCGTTCTTTTTTTTTTTTTTTTTTTTTTTTTTTCCTATGCTTAGGACAGCCCTGGGCTACCGCTTAACGACAACGGTGGGAGTGGGATATCTTTGCATATTGCTTCTCCCTTAGCGGTACTGGGGCATCGTGTACGTCAAGCAAGAAACAAAAGGAGGGGGCAGTCGGGCACGCGGGAAATGGTAGTGGGGATCCATAATGACGCCGAGATGGTGCTCGAGGGACCCGATCATCTTGAAGAACTTCATATGGCTACGCGAGCTCCTGTGACGTGGGGTCAGGATCAGGAGGGTGGAGAATCAATTTGATTGTCGACATCATTTTTTATCTTCGAACAACTTAGGTCAATCGAATCAGTGGTCCGAGGAATATGCCTCACACATCGACATTAAAATTATACACAAAATGAGAAGGGCTGATAGAAGGGAGGTAAAGGGGGCAGAAAAAAAAAAGGGAGGGGTGGAGAAAGACATGCAAAGCCCAAGCCCAGGGAAAACAGATAATATGGGTCATCGAAGTTAGGAGAAAAAAAGAAGCGCAAGCCATCATAAAAGAATCAAACCAAGTTATATGGCAAGTCATGAGAAGGGAAAAAAAAAGAAAAAAAAAAGATATTCACACAAATACACCAAAGAACATGTCAAATTCAGTAAAAAAAAAAAGACACGCGAACAAAGGAGACCGTCCTTCCTTGCCAACATCCCCCATCCATCTACCAATCACTTCACGTCACGTACGACGAGATCAGATTTGACATTGGAAATGGATTAGATTTTGTTTTCCGCTCTCTTCATAGTCCGTTTAATGGGCCCTGAGCGGAAGACTGGAAGTTCCGGGAAGAAGAAGAGATTGGGAGGGAAGCTGTGGGGCTTCCTACAACCACTTCGTCTGTCCGATTTATCCCTTCTTGCCCCGGGTAATCTATACAACAAAAGCCGCCGCCCCTTCATAGCATTTCAGGTACCCTGAAACGCAATTTACAACAGGTAGGCGACGAGAGCGAAGACAGTGGCGAGGCCGGCACCAGCGCCGACGGCAGCACGGGAAGCACCGCCAGTGAAGACGGGGGCGGAGGGGCTGGTGGCCGAGCCGGAGCTGGAGCCGGTGCCCTGGGCGGAGACACCCTCGGGGGAGGAGCCGGTGCTGGTGGAAGAAGAAGAGCTGGAGCTGGAGCTAGCGCTGGCGACGGGGCTGGCGGAGGCGGAGGGGATGGGCTTGGAGGAGGAAGGACGGCCGGAGGGGATCACGGGGCGGGTCGAGAAGATTCCGCTGGGTCCGGGGGTGGGCTTCACTCCCTGGGGGTGGGCTCCCGTGGCTCCGCTGGGAGAGGAAGCGCCAGCACCGGGGGATCCGGAGGATCCGGAGGAGCTGCCGGAGGAGCTGGAACCTTCGTTGGGGGATCCACCGCCGACGGCAGAAGCACCGCTGGGAGAAGACTCAGCGCCGGAGCTGGGGGTGGAACCAGTGTTGCCGGAAGAAGCACCGCTGGGAGAAGACTCAGAGCCGGAGCTGGGGGTGGAACCAGTGTTGCCGGAAGAAGCACCGCTGGGGGAGGTCTCAGAGCCGGAGCTGGGGGTGGAACCAGCGTTGCCAGAGCCAGTGGAACCGGGGGTAGAGCCGGAGCCGGAGCTGGCGCTGGGGGTAGGGCCAGTGCCAACGGCATCGGCACCGCTAGGGGAGGCTTCGGAGCCGGAGCCGGAGCCAGAGCCGGAGCCGGAGCCGGAGCCCGTGCTGGGAGTGGCACCAGTGCCAGTGACAACAGCAACACCGGTCTCAGTGGCAGGAGCAGCGGTGGCAGAGCTAGATAGTCCTTGTCAGTCAAGCGATTCACTTGGTTCCTCGTTGGAGGCTCCCGAGAGAGACGTACCACTTGTCGCAGTGGGTCACGGTGGAGGTGACCAGGGGAGTGCTGTAGGTGTAGGCAGTACCGGAGATGGTGACGGTGGAAGGCTTGTCCAGCAGTTAGTCTCACAGGTTGAACATTCAACCAGATCTAATCGAGACTTTCACGCATGAAACACTCACCTGAGCAGCAGAGGGGTTACCCTGGCTGGCAGTACCGGGACCAGCAGCCAGAGAAGTGGCCTGAGGGCAGTAAGTGGCATACTCAGTCACAACGACGGTCTTGTACTCGGTCGCAATGGCACCGGCAGCCAGGGAGGCGACGACAGCAGCAGAAGAGACACGCATGATGAATGATTGACGGGCGGTTTATGGATTTGGTGTATGTGGGTTTGTGTGTATGTGTTTTGTGTAGAGGGCTCGAGATTGGCGGAGAATTGATTTGCGCTGAGTTTATATTGATGTCAAAAAGAGTGACGAATTGACGGATTGATCGACTGTGTCGAAATAAAGAACGTAATCGGCGCGGAGACCGGAATTTGTCAAGGTGAAACAGCGAGTGCGGGGGGTGAGAGAGAGAGAGAGAGAGAGAGAGAGAGAGAGAGAGAGAGAGAGAGAGAGAGAAGAGAAAAGAGAGGGAAGAAGAGGTAGAAAAGAGGGCGGAGGAGGCGTAGAAAAAGGAGGCCAACGGATGATCACTCAGGGACTAGACTACAGCCGACTACCTCATTTCCTGGGCTGGTGGTGGACTAGTCATTTTTCTATGGAAGATTAAATGAAATCTCATCAACGCGGGCAATCCATGAGGGTTTAGTTGCTTTACTAGTCTGTTTCACCTCCAGCGGGGGCGGATCCGTAATATTTGCCAGGGCTCCACGCATGAGGGCGTTCTTCAGCTCGTGTGTGCCTGACTAAACGGATAGAGTACATGTACGTGTGCAGGTACGGGTATAGTACTACTGGCGTGTGTTACTGGGTGTACGGAGTAGGTTCCTGGCGATAATGGTGGTGGTAGTGGTGGTAGTGCAGGATGCAAGGCACCAGGTAGGGCTTGGCTCGATCAGCTGGTCTCCAACTTACTGCTGTTAACTGTTGTTACAGTACGGAGCAGAGGGGAAAACAAAAACAAATCCAATCCTCCGCCCGAGGCTAGACTACCACCTAGTACGAAGTAGTGACTAGCACCCCCTCCTCCCCTCTTCAGGGTCTTACTTTCAATCAGCCTAGTAGTTAGGAAGACTCTGTTTTTAGAGTCACCAAAGTATATTGAGAGGAGACTGGGAGTGGGAGGTGGTGTTCCTGAGAAGGTGTCCCCTGGGAGCTGGGAGCTGGGAGCTGGAAGCTGGAAGTCATGGATGGACCGACCCATTCAATCGGGCGACTCCTGACCATCCTTGCCCACTTCAGAATGGCTTACTCAGTCTGTGGTGGTGTCTCGGGAAAGAACAAGGTTCAATTAATGGAGGGAGACGGTTCGCCATGATTGGGGATAGTTTAATTTCTATTGCTCCCCATCCCCAATGCAAATGTCGGATATTGCAAGAAAGGAGACCACTTTTAATTATCCGTTATCCACCCGCACTCTCGCACACCCAGTCTCTCTCTCACTAACACTCACACATGGAAGAGCTACTCGGCCCGGATAATTTCTTGTCCGAGCGCTTTTGTCATCACCCGAATTTATGATTCAGTATGCAAGACATTGTGTCTAAAGCTATGAGTAACTAAGCACATAGTACTGCTATGCTTCATGGTGGCACTTGCAACAGTTAACTCGCTATGTACTTCCGTACTGTACTATTGCCCAAACCCTCACTTCCTGCAACATGTTCGAGCAGATACCATCACTACCGACAAACACACCTCCTCCATGTTTTCTTGGACTTTGAAACAGACCCAACAATAACATACTAGCTAACTGATCAAGTTAACTGATCAAGAACTAACTAAACTCAATCGAGTCTTAGTCAGACTGATACATACCTAAGCTAGCTAATCAGCACGTGCAATAGGTCTGCTCGTCTCCGCATCAGTTGGCCCCCAACAACATGACGCCTGCATCCTGTTTCAAGGGAGGGAGGCTCCAACTTGATTCGAAGTATCATTGATCGAAATAGCAACAACTACGCTACATACCCAGTCATCTCGCAGCCATGCATATCAGCCAGGTATGTCAGTTCTCTGACTTCTCCCAGTGAGTTCTAGATCATCGTCACCTGGCCTTCGTTTGCGAGATGATGGGTTCCAAGCTCCCGCGCGCGATGTGGGCTGGAACCCTTCGCTTTATGTGATCAGGAATACAGGGAGACTAAGTCATTTGTTTATCTAGTTATACACTTACCCCATAAAATCGATTCGTGGGACGGCCCTATCGTCCGCGACCGTCATCCGAACAGGCTTCCTCTACGATCGCCGATTCATGCTCCTGAAGGTCCTTGACGATGGCACCCTCAAGAACATGCACGTTCCACACTTCCCGGAAATGTCCCTATTCCAAGCCGAGATTGTCTTCCCTAGCGAGGATGGCACGGAACTAGGACAGATCATAGTGACCTTTCGGCCGGCTGCGAGCGAGACCCCCAGTGATGATAATGACACCAAGCCAAACCGCATCCTCCACATCCCCCTTTGTCCTGACACGCGGCAACTGGAAGAGCTGGCCATCATGATGCACCAGAGCCCCACGAAGGGGTATAATATGGGGGCACAGTATAATGATTGGTTCAGTGAGTGGTTCGGATACCCCGTTGTGCTGGCCTACCTGGGACCACATTCGAGGCGAGTTCTCGGGAGCTTTGGACCCTCGAAAAGTGCAGCGCATACGGGGGTGATCAAAGAGGAAACGCCAGGAAAGCCGAAAGGAAAGAGAAACGATGAGGGCATGCTCACTGTGGGGACAGTGGTTGGGGTCGCTGGGGTGACCCTTTTGTTCAATCTACTACTGGGCTTGAGTACGACGGGCGAACAGAAGATGCCGCCGATGTTCAGCGCGGCAGCGGTGGTCGTGTTGCTGGTGGTTATGCTGGGGGGAAAAGCCGTCTATGATCGAGTCGGCGCAAGAGGGGAAGAAGAGGAACGCATCACATTCGCGGATACGGCCCCGTATCTGCTAGTGTCGGCCACATCGGTGGACAACGTGTCGGAGCGGCTGGAAGGGGGCCTGGACATGGATGTCACCAAGTTCCGCCCAAACATTGTTGTGGCTGGCGCAAAGGAGGCCTTTGAGGAAGACTTCTGGGCGGAGGTGGTCATTGGGTCTGGCAAGGACGGCCAAACGCGGCTGCTGCTGACAGCCAACTGCGTTCGGTGCCAGAGTCTAAATGTCGACTATGCGACGGGCGCGATGGCAGAGGGGGAGATGGGCAATGTGTTGAAGAAGTTGATGAAAGACCGTAGGGTCGACAAAGGGGCGAAATTTAGCCCGGTCTTCGGTCGGTATGTCTTTCTCGACGGTGAGTCGGAGGGTCAGACAGTGCACGTGGGTGATGAGGTGGCCGTCGCTCGACGGATGAATGAACGAATGGTATACGGTGAGCACTAACTGGGGAGTACAATGACACTGGCTTGACTGACTGGATAACTTGCATAGACTGGCCCGGGTTGACCAATTGAGATCTGGGATGGTTGGGCACGAGACACGAGACGGAGTATGAGGGAGGAGGAACAGAGAGGAGGATTGGGGACAAAGACCCGTGTCGACAGGTCAACCAGTCAACAATAATGCACCGCGGGGGATCTTGTTCCGGTTCCTGGGATGGGAAGTCCCATGGTTGAAGCGGCCACCTGGCTATAGCTAGGTTATCGCTGGTACTGGTGGGTTCCTTCATCAATGACATTGTTGATTACACACATATGCAGCGCGTAAGCCAGTCAATCCATCCGAAGTTCCGAGCGCAAACCTGACAAACTCCTCGTACTACTCGGACTTATTTTTGCGTACCTACTGTGGTCGTACTCCGTAGTGTTGGCCCAATTGGGCTCATTACGTCAAGAACCTTGAACCTTGACTCGAAGGTAGTTCGTATGGCCAACACGCACGGTTCCACTTTTTCTTTTCCAGTTCAATTGCACCGCCACCTGCACGGCACGCTGCATGAGACCAATCAATGGACTGTTTATCTGCCCTATAAGACCCGCTCGTGTCTTTCCTCTGAATTCCCAACTGATTAGCTCAGCGGGGCGTGGCGCAGCAGCCGGCATCAGCCGTTCATGCCATCACCGTTCGTTCCGGAGTAATCATTTTGTAAGTCATTCTCCATTCTTCACTCCATTCCTCGCTTCTTGCCGCCAGAGGCTTGAGACAGAGGAAAAAAAGAAAAAAGAAAAAACTCATCTGTTACTCTCCCACCATTATCTCTAGCACTTGTCTACTTTCATTTCTGCGCCATCGCACCAGGATCCTTGGGAGCACTCCTTTTCTCCTCTAACTTACTGCCTACAACCGTTTCCGCCTGATCGTGCGTGTCTCAACCCCGCGGGGTCATGGATTACTCCGTCAATCTCCGCCGCAAGGATACCACCAAGGGCCCTCCCTTGAGGATCCTTTCGCTAGGTAGGGCGTTCTACTCTGGCTCTTACTTTCCATACTAACTCTTATACTCTCAACAATCAGATGGTGGCGGTGTCCGGGGCTATTCCATGCTTATTATCCTTCAAGAACTCATGTACCGTGTATACGTCGAATGCGAAGGAAAGGCACCTCGTCGTGAGGACATTCCCAAACCATGCGACCATTTTGATCTCATCGTTGGCACCGGAACCGGCGGTCTCATTGCCCTCATGTTGGGCCGTCTCCGCCTTGACCTCGAAACCTGTAAGGAAGTCTACGTGCGCATGACCCGCCGGGTCTTCGAAACCGACAAAACCATTGCCGGCATCCCATTCCGTTCCACCTTATTCAAGGCCTCCAGGCTCGAAGAGGCCATTCGCGAATGCGTCCGTGAACATACCGTTTTCGAGGCCGAGGGGAATGACATGACCCCCGGCAGCGCGCGCAACTCACTCGCCGGTGCCCCCTATAGCCCCAATGCGGTCGCCATTCCGCAGCGCTCGGGCAGTCGCGCTAGTTTCAGCACCACCAGTACGGCACACTCGTCCGGTCACCATAGTCATCGCAATTCGACATTTGTGAACGGCTTGCGGTGGGGAAACCCGGATGCGTTATTGTATGACAATCGGGAATATCGAACCAAAACGTATGGCCTCTTGCGCTCCCACTATCCTATGGACTCTACTGACTTCTTCAGCGCGGTCACCGCTCTCTACAAAGGTACCACCCGGAATGGGTCGTCTGTCATGCTCCGTTCATACGATTCCCGCAAAGAGCCCCCACCCGAGTTCAATTGTACAGTCTGGCAGGCCGGTCGGGCCACCTCGGCCACCGGGATGGCTTTCAAGCCGATTCAGATCGGCCAGCACGTGTTTATCGATGAAGGGGCCGGCACCTACAATCCGGCGCCGCAGGTATTGGACGAAGCGACGGTGAACGAGTGGCCGGGCCGTGAGGTGGGTGTTTTCGTCAGCGTCGGGACCGGCAAGCGACCGCCCGGCACAAACAACCGCCAACACGAGTGGTGGGAAGATTTCTTCGGGGATGCGCTGGGGTCGTTCGCGGAGGCACGTCGGCGACTGATCGCCAAAATCGAGGGCTGTGAGGATATTCATGTGGCTATGCTGCGCGACCATCTTTCGAAGCGCAACGTGAGCCAGGATAATTATTACCGATTGAATGTTGAGGTCGGAGTGGGCGAGTTTGGCATGAACGAGTGGAATCGCCTGGCGGACATCAGCACCAATACCAGGCGTTATTTGACTCGACCGGAGGTGAAGCGACAGATCCTTGATGCCGGAGTCAAATTTGCCAAAATCAACCGACAGCATCGACGTCTGGCCGACCATGCGGCGGCTCCTGGAGGGAATGACGCAGGCGAGGAGACCAGTTCCATCCTGGGCAGTCCCGTCCTGTCGGTGCAGCCTCCGTTGCCCCATCCGATGGCGGTGGAATTGCCTGCCGAGTTGCCCGGCGATTTTGTTTTACGACCGTTGACGGCGACCGATGATACACTCCCCGCGCACCCGACACCGCACGATGCAGTTCTGGGGTCCCCGGCGCGTGGCTCGGGCAGTGATCTGGCCAGTCCGAGTCCCCATGGATCTTCGCGGCCTAGTTTTGAGCTACCGTCGCATCATAACGGGGAAGAGATGCCTCCACCCGTGCCGCCAAAGACCCCCATCCCTTATCCTGACCATCCCAGTGAACTTGGCGGGATTCCCATGCCGATGCCGACAGTGATGCCTCCGGCGACGACGAATAGTGGCCACGGATATCCGGGGGCAGGCGGGAAGATCCGACCGCCATATCCTATGGATGAACCTCCCGTGGTGAACAAGCAGCGGAAACCGAGTTATCATGTTCGATGAGCAAATGATTCTATGATATGATCTGCTTAAATACTTTATGGGATGGAGAAAGGGGGGCTGAGGTTATGGCGTCAAGATACCCACGAGAGAAGATGTCCCGTAAGCATAGTGGAGGATGGGAGGCCGGAGGAGTTTGATTGAGGATCTGATGAGGACTTGATGATATTGAATTGAAGGATACCCTAATTAATGAGTGAATGAATTCCCTTTTTTTTTTTTTTTTTTAATGCATTGATTGTATGGGCAAGCGTGGAGATGTACTGTAATTTGTAATTAAGGTACAGGTAGCCAAGTGGAAGGAAGTGGGAAGAGGGAAGAGGGCAGAGGGCAGAGACCCGCTGCAGCTCAACCAGCCTCTCTGTTTATTATTTCCTGACAGCCCCATCTTACTCTATACAATCACCACGAACTGAACTTGCATCTACATTACTATAAATTAAACTAATCGCTTGCTCTTACTTGCTACATTGCTACTGCTCTGTCGTGTAGAGACAGCCCCAGATCTTCGAAAGTACAGTAAGTTAGATTAGAGTGTTTATGTTATCAACCTGACACATTCCAACCCACCGGCTCACTCCACATGCCCGTGTTGTCGCAACTCAGCCACCGTCTTGCCCACGGTCTTTCCCACGGTCTTTAGCGCCGTCTAATTATGTTCAATCAGTCTTTCTTTTTCGCCCCGATCTCCTTCCTTCTCCCAACCTCAGCCTGAAACCCAGACATACGAAAGGCACAAGGTCACTTGAAAAAGAGAGAGAAAAAAAAAAAAAAAAAAGGGGGTCGTGTGCTGACTAGGTACCACCATTTCAGTCATTCACTGCTGGCAGTGTGTCTTCAATCAAATCACCTCTCTCTCACCATCTCCTTCTCTCCATGTAACCACGGTTCTCTCCGCTCTGAACCACTTCCTTTCCCTCTTCTCGATCGTCATGGCTGCCACGACAACCGCCGCAGCGATGACAGCGCTCTACAACTACACCACCACAGCCGCCCTCTTGGCTGCACGAGAAGCTACTACTTCAGCCGCCTCTTCCTCCTCATCCTCGCGACCCGCCTCCTACAAAATCGTCGGGATCTGCCTCGCCGTCGCTTCCGGCTTCTTCATCGGCACCTCTTTCGTCCTCAAGAAGATCGGCCTCCTCCGCGCCAATGTCAAATACAACGAAGAGGCCGGCGAGGGTTATGGCTACCTCAAGAACCTGTACTGGTGGGGAGGGATGACCCTAATGATCGTCGGCGAGATCTGCAATTTCGTAGCCTATGCGTTCGTGGATGCGATCCTGGTAACCCCGCTGGGCGCGCTCACCGTCGTCGTGTGCACCATCCTCTCCGCCATCTTCCTCAAGGAACGCCTCAGCTTCGTCGGGAAGGTCGGCTGTTTCTGCTGCATCCTTGGCTCCGTGGTGATCCCGCTCAATGCGCCCGAGCAGTCGTCCGTGAGCGATATCCAGGAGATGAAACACTATGTGATCACCCCCGGGTTTCTGTCCTATGCGGGAGTGATCATCGTCGGGTGTACTTTCGTCGCACTGTATCTGGGGCCGCGATACGGGAAGAAGTCCATGTTCGTGTATCTCAGTATCTGCTCGCTGATTGGGGGGCTGAGCGTCGTTGCGACCCAGGGGCTGGGCTCGGCCATTCTGGCGCAGATCAATGGGAAGTCGCAGTTCAAGGAATGGTTCTTGTATGTTCTGTTGGTTTTTGTGGTAGCCACGCTCTTGACAGAAATCATTTATCTAAATGTGTGTGCTCTCCTTTCCACCCACCTGCTTGGGATGAATGTCTGCTGACCGAATACAGAAAGCACTGAATATCTTCAACGCGGCCCTCGTTACTCCGACCTACTACGTCTTCTTCACCAGCGCAACCATCGTGACCTCCGCCGTTTTGTTCCAGGGCTTCCACGGCTCTGTCAAAGACATCGTCACCGTCGTCCTCGGGTTCCTACAGATCTGCGCAGGTGTGGTCTTGCTGCAGCTATCCAAATCTGCCAAAGATGTCCCCGATGCTGCCGTTTTCAAGGGCGATTTGGACCAGGTCCGCGAGGTTGCGACGCAGGAAGAACACGAATTCGAGCCCAAGGCCGACTCCATCCGCGGCGCCGCGGCCATCATCCGCCGCATTTCTACCTCCCGCCGCACCATGGAGGCTGAAGAAGCCCGCCGCTATTATCACGACCGCCAGGAGGACCTACGCACTCCGCTAGCCGAGAATGAAATTGTTGAATGGGATGGACTGCGCCGGCGCAAGACCGTTCTCGGCGAGGGTCCCACAATGGCAGCGCGCACACGCACCCCGTCCGTCCGTCACCATCCATTTCCACCGCTGGGTATGGCCCGCGTGCCGGAGGAGCAGAGATGCGAGGACGAGGAGGACGATGAACCGCCCCGACCGACTACGACACAGAGCAATAATTCATTCCTAGATGACCTCCGCTCGCGCGCGAACAGTATCTTCCATCCGACGTGGCAACCGATACACAAAGAGCCGTTGCACCTCTCAGACGCCGATCCCGTGTCGCTGAAGGCTATGGAATCAAACCGCAAATACCCCGATACTCACTATGCCGGCCGCGACGGCCGTTCCATCAGGTCAGCGGTCAACACTGAGAATGACAATCACACTCTTCCGCCGAGCCCCCCTGCGCACGGAGGCGCTGAACGGCAATTTTCGTTCACCAGTGTCCTCGGTCGAAAGAAAGCCAGTAGCCCCGAACCCGTCGCCGCTCGTCCTGTCTCACGGCAGAGTGGCCTCCATCACCACTATCACCGCTCGTCGGGCGCAACCGAGGAAGAACGCCTTGGCCTGGTGCGAGGGGATTCGAGATCGGATGACCTGGACGAGAAGGCCCTGGGTAGTGCTTATGATGACGACGATATTTGGAACGACGGACCGGACCCGTTGCCATCGGGTCAATCCCACCGAGTCGACTCCCTCGAATCGCATCGCATCTTCTCCAGCGAATCACTGTATCCGGCGCGGCTGCGCGTGAACCCGCTGCCCCCTCTGCCCGACGAAGAACCGTTGGCTGATCCGTACGCGCCAATCGGAATGGCGGGGTTACGACGCGAGTCCGACAGTAGCGCGGGAACATTCGTCTCGTCCCCACCGGCCCGCGGGAGCGGCATAGGGAGTGGTAACAGCGAGGGTTGGCGGAGACATCAATCAGGACGGAGCAGTGGCGGAGGGAGTGGAGGTCTTCCAGGGAAGAAGGGGGCATTTATCTAGGAACCGAGCCAAATGGTATGATATACGATATAAATGATGACTGATGAACTCGATAATGTATATATGAAGATTTGGATATATTAATGTATGTATGTGTATGTGTTAGATCCTTGTTGAAATTAAGGTATTATCGTGACAAGCTTGCGCAAATATATGGCCCGATAAGGATGGGGCGTATATTGCATGGGGGTATCTTTCAAAGTCAAGTGGTGAATGGAGTCATAGTCAATGCGAATCTAGGAATGTCTTGCAGGAGCAATCGTGTATGCATGTATCATAAACCCTCTGCAGATGTCGGGGAGCAGAACCCAAGCACACTCCTCTGCCTCTCTCCTAATTGAACCGCATATCTACCTTCTGAGAGCCGCTTCCCAGCCTTGATACTATCCAAAGCCCTGGTTTATTTTCTCATAATCAGCACGGGCATTTCCTTTTTACCTGACTTACTTACTGCTCACACCTTTCATAATTCGGGATCCCTCGTTGAAAGACAAAGTGGCATATGCGAGGAACGGAAAGGGGGGGGAGGAGAGGAAGCAAGCTTACCATTGGACCCCCACAATCTTCACTCCCTTCCATCCTCCGCGCTGGAGCTCCTTCTGGATCTTGCTAGCGGCGAGTCCACCTCCCGCGCCGCCGTTGCCCGGTCCCGCATTGGGGACTCCGATGATGACATGCGTAATCTTCCGAGAGAGGGAGAGGTTGAGGGTGGCCCCTTGAGAGACTAGGAGGCGCTTGAGAGCGTGGTCCGAGATGAGAGGGGTTGTTTGGCCGTTGATGTGGATGGTGAGGGAAGTGAAGATCTTTTTGTTGTTCATGGGTGCGGTCTGAAGGGCTGACGGTACAGTTTCGCGTGAGGTAGATGGGGTCGTTGCAGGTGTCGTTGAGGGGGGTGTTTGTGTTGTTGGGTTTTTGATCGTGGTCGTGCTCGTCGAGGGGATGGAAGGTGTAGGTGTAGGTGTAGGTGTAGGTGTAGGTGTGGGATGAGATTTGAAGGAAGTGGTTATGGGGGCCGGCGCAGACACAGCTCTTTCTGTTGCTGTTGTCGTCGTTACTGCTGCCGCTGCTGCTGGTGCTATCTCTGTAGCCCAGTCAGGGCTATACCCCGTCTGCACCTTCGCTTTCTTCATCCCAATCGCACCCGATGCAACACCACCACCACCACTGCCATCGCTCACATCCCCAGGGTATCCTCGTTTGCGAACCTGCCCACCAAACATATCTCGTATATCCATCTGACCCGTCGATGTCAATGAAGAGGAAGCCCGAGCCCCCAATTGGACCTGTCTCGACCCATTATGCGACGAGTGCAATTGCGAGCGCTGCTGAGCAGCAAAAAACTGTGACCCCGCGCGGATGTTGTTGGAGTAGTTGCTGTTGTTTTTGTTCCCAGAGCAAACAGAATCGGAATGAGCTGCTGCAGCAGCAGTAGCAGCAAACACCCACTCTCCCTTCCCCGCCTCCTCCTCCTCCCCACTACCATTTCCCATCCCCTCCACTGCTGCAGCAGCAGCAGCAGCAGCAGCAGCAGCAGCAGATGTCAAAGCAGGCGAGGAAGTGCAATCCCCATCCCTCGACCCAAACTGCCGCGCCAGTTTCTCCTGCCGGGTGATCCGCCATTCGCGCCCGCGGGCGCCGCCATCGGCAACCTGATGACCCGTCGAGGCGGAGTTGAAGACGTCGAAGAAGCGGGCTCGCGGCTTTGGATTTGAGTTGAATGTGGGTTTCGTGGATTTCGTGGGAGGTGGTGGTGGCATTGTCTTTTTTCTTTTCTTCTCTTTTTGGAGGGCCCCCCCCTCTCTCCCTTGCGCTCTTGGGGGTTTTTCAACTTCCGGGGGAAGGCGCAGATTGGCGAGACTTGAGGGTTCTTTTCTGCAGGACCAGGTACGCGTGGGGAGTGTCTGCCGGCTGTAAGTTGGAGGGGCTGGAAGCTTTTGTCGTTTAGACTTTGTGGTTTGTCGATTGGGTGTCGGAGGTTTCAAAAGTTCGGGTGGAATGTTTTTGTTTACGATCCATGGATTAGGTACAGTTGCTTAGGCGGAGGGGAGGGGAGGGGAGTCATGTGATAATCGGGGTGGCTTATCGATAAGCTGGTCAGGTCTTTATCGTCTACAGTACGGGGTACATACTTATCTACACTATCTTACTGTACGATGGGAATCACTTTTCTGCCTACTTGTTACTGAGGTAAGGGGAATGGGTGCTAAATCATCCATTAATCTCTTCAGAGAATACATATCCTCAACATTGACTCGATTATCTTGATTGTGAGTGGACAATTTCAAAAAGAAACACTAATAATAATAATACAACGTCTCTACTCAGACGCGTACAGCTGTGATTCTATATGTCACTGACCGCGGGCAGCACCGACGCAATCGTTTCCCAGATAGCAATAAAGTTACAGTACATCGCATCGCAGCGCGACACCCCCTCACTCCCTGAATCTTTATCCAACCAGAATGAGTGCTAAGATGGCAATTGACAAACAGGGACATCCACTTCGCCATGATCTCGTACCTCCAATCAATCCTGCTCCACGGCGCACAACGCACGCATTCCAGGGCGGCGGCGGCGGCGGCGGCGGCAGCAGCAGAAAGACGGTGAAGCGAGGCAAATGCGTGGCTGGGTGGGTGGCCAGTGGTGTAATCAAGGGATGGAAGGATGAATGGGTGATGGATGGTCGACTTCAACCACCATTGATCAGCTGGACAAGCTATAATTAGGGGCAGATCGTCCCCTCCCAGAGAGGGGCCGTGGATCGGCCGCTATGGAAGTGACATACATATGTATGTCACCTTGGAATGTGCACACACTACTACACTACATGCTGTCGCTCAATCCTCGACAGTTGTGCAAAGGGTAATAAGACTAGAGAAATCAAAAGAATCCCAGGGGGGGAGTACAGAAACGACATCCCAACACCATCTCCGGGTATGCTAGCGACTTGTCCTCGCAAAACGGCCAACCCAACCCTGCGTCCGCATATGCATCCCGGGTCGTTGCAGCTGAAACCGACCCTGGCACAGACGCGCGAGGAGCGGCAAGGATGGCAGAGGAGAGAAGCGGTCAGTCAGCCAGTCAGTCATTCGAGGTCTTCATTTGAAGGCACTGCAACAGCCAGCCATGTTCTCCGGCTGGCAGCATCAACGGTAGACGGGCGCAAAGCAAGAAATGAAGACGGAAGGGAAAAGAAAGAAAGAAAAAAAAAAAGAGGAAAAATACAAAAAGAAAGAAAACAAAAAAATACAAGGCGAAAATAGCAGATGGAGGGAGAGAAAGAGTTGGTAGATGTCCTGCCAGCACATACGTGGTTGCCTCTGCTGCCAATCAATGCATGAACCAGCTTGGCCAATCCGGGAGAGATCTTTATTGTCCCCTAATATAGGTAGCTCAAATACTGTTCTTGGATGATTAACCGGGGGGAGGGAAGAGGAGAAGGGGTCCGTGTCGCGGGGACATGGATCCTCAGCCCGGTGGCCAACCATCGCCACCATGTCAGTGTCGCAACTCTCAATGTGTCTGTGACACCCTCTGCTTGGGGTATGGGATGATGCCATCGTGACCTGCCGTACAATATTCTGGATCGAAGGGTCGCAATTGGCTCAGGTAGGGCCCCCTGCGTATTGAATCCAGATCGCTCAGAATTACCAGAGTAGGCAGTAAGCATATCTTGTTTTGCGGATTTATTCTTGGGATCTGGGGAAGAGACCACAGAAAGGAAGAATGGAAGAAAGAAAGTCAGTGAGCCAGAAGATGGCAAGCAGGATTCCACATCCGCAATTTCCTGGTCCTCCACTAATCTAACGCAAGGCAGTCCACCTGCGCAGTCGATCGTGCACGGGTAACTCGTCGGAACATGCAATGTAAGGTTAATTACTGCGTGCAGCCCGCCCTCCACCACCGAAAAGCGACTTCGGGCCATTAGATGACGAAGGATTTACCCACCTTGCCCCAAAGAACAGTAGAAACATATCTTAAGCTCATCGGCGATCCTTGATTGGCTCATTGGTTATGGCCATGGCGGCCGTCGTAGTCGGACACGGATGGACGAAGGAAGCGACTCGGTCTGAGCTAAGTTATTATGGTCGGTCGACGTGATCGAGGACTTGTGCGCGGCTTCGACAAGTGCCGAACAAATACGGAAAGGGCAGGAGGAATAATACTCAGTCAGTAGAACCAATCGCAGAAGTAGACCACTGTATCATTGCAAAAGCCGCTTAACATTCCGGTCATCGAATCCCTGCGCGAAATCAGGTATTGTAAGCGCCGGCCGCTGAACGAATGGAGTAAAATTAGTCCCTGCTCGGAGCTGTTGTCCTTGGGGGCCATTCCCTAACCCTTTTCGACTTATGATCCGCACGGTATTCGTGTCTTCTGAGACCGGAGAGTACAGCAGGTGCTTGAAGTTGACTATGCGATTGATGATAACGAGAATGATGTGGTGGTGGTGGTGGTGCAAATTGTCCGGTCGGAACAAAGAATTCAGATGGAATATGTTCCATGATCGGTTATTCCCGCATCGCCTATCAGCAAGTTAATGCATAGGTCGCACTGCAGGCGGAGATTTGTCTTTGCCCCCCGGGGGTCTTCAGACGATGAGGGGGGTTCTTAGTCGCTAGTCGTTATCGATGGCCTCGGCTCGAACAACCCTCTCAGCCCCGGATGGACGGATGGAGGATGAGGGAGGAAGGAGAAGGTCGGAGCTCCCGGTCAATTCCCCCACCCGTGCTAGTCATCGTCGGAGCTGCACTGTTGTGCATCCGGCTGGAAGTCTGTAGGGCACGGAGAAGAATTGTCAGACAGCTGAAGAATTCTTAGACTAGACGCGAGGCAACCTGGAAGGGTGGTTCGTTGCTTGCGCTTGCATGGCAGCTGCAGGTACAGCCGAGGATTTGGCAGGTAAAACCATGGCTAGCCCAGCGCAACCTTCCCAAAAGTTAGTTAGTACTGAGTATGAGTAGTATAGTCAGTCCATAGTCCATACATACGCCAGTGACCAGTCCGACTGAATCGACCCAATGCTCCATCCTAGGAAGGAGATTAATTGTAGGCGAAAGTGAAAGAATCCTCGGACTATCGTACTAGAGTGTACCCACTCATAGGAGGACAGCATCGAATGAGTCGGATTCGGTCCCCACTTCTGCACCCGGAGTAATTTCTCACCTTCGAGGAGAGCGAGACAGCCGGTCCGGCCATCACGAATCAGCCCCTAAGCCTTTTCGTCCTGAATGGCGCATCGAATGAGCGAAGCGGCGCGCGATCCCCGGCCGTGATTGATCTGATTTGATCCCCGTGCATTTACGCAGTTCGTCCTAGCGTGGCAGGGATAGGCCCGGTTGCTGAAGGGGCCGGCGGTTGACTCCGTTGAGTCCGTTCACTTTTTAGTGAGCCGCTAGTCTATTAGTCTTCTTTTCTGTCAGTGTGTCAGTGTGTCAGTGTCAATGGTGAATTGTCAATTGTCAACTGTCTGGCTGGTTGGTATTTTTGATCAAGTGGGGGTGAGGGGGGAGGGGGGAGGGACTAGGAGGGAGATGAAATGGTGGGGATCGGACGAAATAATGGGTGATTGGTGTGCACTGGATGGAAATCTTTAGCCCACCAAGCTAAATGGACCGACTCAATGAACTAAAAAAGCCTCCAAGCTTGATCAGGCGCAGACTTAGCGCAGAGCCATCCATGATCCCTGGGCTGGACCGCCGACGGTGGGAACTGGGAAGATAGAATAATATTCTGTGTTAATGATAATAATGCTGATTGATGCCGCCGCCGCGACTGCTAATGGCAGGCGGCTAGGATGCCAACTGGAAGAAAAGTTGAGGTCAGACTGGTTTGCTTTGACACTACCTAACATTAGGTAACTTACCTACTAGTGTATAGTGTACAGGTACAGTACCTACTGTATGCCTGTCTATGGTTGAATTCTCCCTGTAACTCCGGCCGGATCCCCTGAATTGGTGATGAGTGTTGTTCCACACCACCTATCCGGTTCTCATTCGTTTTTCTCTCTCTCTTTTGTTATGTTGTTGGGCAAGAGTGATTCCCAATTGGGACTATATTATTATCTCCTATCTGTATCTTATTCTACGCAGGCCAAATCTTCGATTCGGGAGAGTATAATGATCTTGAAATATACCTACACATGAGTACCTAGAGATTCACTTGGACCCCGCAGGTAGGTAAGTTAGTATGTATGTACAACGGCTGCGGGAGTCGGCCCGTCCGTAGCGGACTCCCTCCCGGCCTTTTCTTGTCTCATTATTTTATGTCTACTCCGTACTTGTGATAATACCTGACACGGAATGACAATCGGGGTTCGATGGTCTTGCATGGTCATCTTAATTTTCAGCTGTCTCTCGAACCTAGTCTAGGAAAATTTGACAGGGTTGTAGCCAAGTTGTCAGTGAAGTAGGTACAATACAGACTGCAGTTGACATCCACAGGCCGATCATAATTTTAGCCCTGGACTTATCTCCACAGGATCATCCTCTTCATCCCACACATCGTCCATAGTTCGTGTCAGACTCGACACGGACCGCGCAGCGCATTGTGCCTTTTTGATGTGCATACAGTGAAGCCCACCTCCGCCCTATACCTGCATAACTACCGGCAGGAAGGCCATGTTTTGACTTGGATGTCAGCTGAAGCATGTGCTATGCTGGATGATGTTCTCTCTATTTCGGTAATCAACAGTCGAGATCGAGCACCTGAGCACGAGGCAGCAACGGATTCGACAGAAGAGAGAAACAGTGGAATGTTGCAATTATCTGGAACGTTCGAGAAGGAAGTGCAAAGCTAATTTGGTAGACGCATTTAACGGTAAGAAAAGAGCAGCAACAAAGATTCAGTTAGATTCTCGAGGTAGAGAAGAAAGAACGTGAGAGCATTCAGTGGGAAGGGCAATCCCCCCCCCCCTCCATCATCTATACACCACCACTACCACCACACCTACCACTTCTTCTCATCAACTTCCTGTACGACATTCTTCCCTGACCTGTCAGCTTCATTGTTCATTCCTCCCACCACCACAAGTCATGGAGGGAGGGAGGGAAGAAAGAAAGAAGGCAGAAAGGAAACAAGAGAAAGTCAAGACCTTGTCTGAACAATGGACGCGCGCTATCCGTACCTCTGAGTCCGTCGAGACTAATTCATAGGCCAGTGACCGAACAGCAAGCAGCAACAACAGAAAAAGGTGGGGTTGGGCCGCCCAAGTGGGACATAATCACTGCACCTCTTCTCCACTATCTACACGCAAGGGGTTGCGAGGAGGTGTGCTGCAGCCAGTGCAGGAAGAAGCTTCCCGGGCCTATCATCAGGCCTGGCGCCATCAGCCGAGCATGGACAGCTGGAATGATAGGGCTTGTCAGTCAAATGACAGTCTTCCTCCCCCCTCCCTTTGATCGCCCTTCTTGCCCAAATTAGACTCTCGATGTCGTTCTCATCGCGATGAAACCAGCGGTGAGGCCTGGAGTCACTTTTTTCGTCCTTCTCCCCAGCTTCTCGCTCTTGTCGGTCACCGTTGTTCATTGCCCTTGCGCCTGAACGCGCCTGAAATCCGGGTTGTGACTTACACCGATTCGTCTGGACGCCGGATTCAATTGATGAGGCAATTTTTGAAGAAAAAAAGCGAAGAGAGCGGGAAATGCGAAAAGACAGAGCCAAAAGAACAACTCAGATGAAGGCCTGGCAGTCCAGAAGGTGGCGGTTCATGCCTCTCTCACCGTCTCCATCGATCCATCAAGATCACGAGATTGATGGTACGCGCGCCCCCGTTCATAGTTCGAAGTACTCCGTAGTGGGCATGGATCTCCCCATTCGGATCGTGCGGAGCAATTAGATAGTGCTCTAATGGCTGACCAGCGATACTATACGGCGGAGAATATAGCTAGAATTTCGTTCGTGGGCACGAACTTACTACTTCGCTATCGGAGGGGCAAACAAGCCATCATTCCACGAGAACTAGAGTTACATCTTTTACTGTACTCTATCTAGGAAGGAGGATCACCAGAATATCCATTGCCTCTTTGTACGACCTTCCCGGTGAAAATCCAAGACAGATGACGGTATAGATGTACTCGTTTTGTACTCGTTTTGTACGAGGAGACAGCGTTCCAGGTATCCGTCTTCGAGTCTGACGTAGATCAACCAGGCTTGAAAGCCGCCTGAGCCCGCAAGATTCAAGCTGGCCTACCTAAGATGGAAAATAACTCCAGATCTCTCAGCTTCGTTTTGTGAAACGCCAACCAACACCCAGCGATCTCTGACCTCACCCTCCCGGTTGTGTAGAGCCAATGGTAAGCCGCCAGTTGATCTCTCAAGCGGAGAATTATTGCTATGGTGGCCAGGGTCGGGATCCCTAACTACCCGGGATTGGGCTTTCTTGACCGACTCGCGAGCTTGAAGCTCTCCATCTGATGTATCCAAGGAGCCGCCTCACCAGGTGAGACGAGCATCTTTCCATTCTTTGCTTCCTGCGCGAGGATTTCCTATTCGACTAAGCCATTGCTGGAACAGGCAGAGATTTGTCTATCGGAAGATTGTTTCAAGCTTTACGGTAGCCTATCTTTGATCATTGCATTGCTGTTCGAAATGGACTGAAGGGATAAGGATGGTGTCATGTATGTGTCGGTGTGTGTGTGCGCGCACACACACAGAGAGAGAGAGAGAGACACGAATGAGTGAACGGATTTTGTATAGCATCACTCTTTCCGTGGCCAAATTCCCCTGTTCCAGAAGTTTAACTTGATGAAACAAATCAAATGAGACAGACCAGAACGCGCTCCCCCGCGGTAAATAACACTACATATTCACCGTACACTAGCTAGTATGAATTGGTCGGCCGGAAAAGGGTGACTAAGAATCCGCAACGAGGGGAGAATCAACAGCTGGTGCTTACTCCGTTGTTGATTAACCTAAACCGGTAGTCAGTTAATGGACCATGGATCCATGATCATGGATGACTGGAGGACAGACTGACAGACTGACAAACTGACAGGGATCATCCCCGACCGACCAACCCAGAATGTGGATAAGTTAGTAGTACTCTTGAAGGATGATGGGGTGGGAGAGAAATCGAAGAACACAGACCTGATCGACTGTTGCTTGCACGCCACTTCTGCCTGCGTGGTGCACTGTGGTCCAGTGGTTTGGTCTGCCATCTGCATGTATCCCTGCCAATCCGGCCCTATCCTGGTCAATTTCTTCTGTTGTGCTGTGTAACCCAGGGATCGCCTCGCTTGCTTGCAGTATATTCTACTATGGACTGCGTTGGGAAAAATAAGTTTATCTGGGAACCGTGTCCCTACCTACTCCGTACCGTGTGTCTGTCTAGTCGACGACCTAGGTAGGGACTGCTGATAGGAACGAACCACTGTGAAGTTTGAAGTACCTCGAATAACCCTGTATACATCTTCGGTCAGAGTAGCACCGGGGTGAAATCAATTAATTGAACAAATTATCATTCTCTAGCCCCTCTCTTGGCCCATCAAGCTCACTTTTCTTTTTTTTGCAATCTAATAATCCCTTGACTCGTGATCGCCTCTCACCCTCGTTGTCGCTCTCTTGCTCGTCCGCTTCCCTATCTCAGAATAGGTCCGATTCATTTAACTTGATTCTCGTCATCGTCCTCCACCGACTTGCCTCGTTTTCGATTTTCTATCTTCCGCTATGATCAGTCGCAGAAGACTTGTCCGATTTGGATGACTTGTCCCCGCCTGTGAAAGGGGCCGTGTTCCAGGCGGGGCCCACCTCCAGATCGCCCCCAACAGCTTGGAGTCATTAACGACGATGACGATGACGGTAATGATGGTGATAATAGAACATATAACAGAAATAATAATAATAATCATGATAATAATCGAAGTGTCAATACACTAATAATGTATCGTATACCAGCCGCCAGCATCACGAGCCAAGTCTAGCTAGTTGGTAGTAGTGTGCACACAGACCTGAATAATGGATCCTCCATTCGCTTCGCATCTTACGGAAGGGGAAGACAGATGATGAAGTTAAGAGGGAAAGAGTAATTGCAATTTACGGTGGTAAGGAAGGAGAGGAGAGAATGAGGGCAAGAGAGGGGAAAAGAGCTCAGTGCCAGTCCCAGAAGACTGGCTCCACTTGGCCAGCCAGGCTATGTCTCACTGGCGCTCTCTAGCCTTGTCGCGGAAGACTTCCTGAATTCCAAGCAAATGAAAAGATCTGAAGTTGGAGTCTCTAATGATTCATTCCAATTAAGATGGAAATGAAAACCAACGAGTCCTCCGGACCATCTTTGTGATCGGTCCCATTATCATAATCATAATACCTATTGTCATATTCACTATTCTTTGTTATGTCATTAGCTGGTACTGTGTAGATCATTTGCGACCGAAAAATCCCCAGCATTCGGCTCATCGGCGTCGGAGAAGTACTGTGCAAGACTGCTAGTAGCCAAATTAGTGGAAATCATGCTAATGAGCGCCCACGGCATGCTTCGGAATAAAACAATGTGATCCTGTGCCGTAAAGTGCAACGGGGAGAGTGAAAGCACATTTTCCCTTGCCCATCTAGGAAGCGCCGCGTCAACGATCAGTTGAGAAGAACTAATGCAGCCGTGCAGGATAAGGCAATTGTGGTTGAGCTGCTCCAGGCATTTACTATTGTGTACTCCGTATGTTGTTGTATCTTATCCCTTGTAAAAGCCTCTGATTCACGACTTTCCATTTTCGACCGATATGATTATTGTTTCCTTTTCTTCTTTTCTTCTCCTCATGCTGCTCAAGTCACCGCCATTCCTCCCTTCCTTTCTTTCGGGTGGGTGACTCTGTATTCTCCCGCCGACCGTTGTCCTTCGTGGATGATGATGATGATGATGATGATGATGATGGCTTAGAGATAGGTTTGTCTCTAGGGTAGGGTAAGATCTTCAAAGCTTTGTCGCTTTCACTTCCGATAGTTTTGGGAGTGGTCTGTGTCGAACCGCTTCCCGCTGCTTTACATGCTGGGACGATCCACTGCACCGTTTAGAGTGCGCAAATCTTGCATCCATCTACGGAGTACTGGACCCCCCTTCTCTTGTTCTTTGACTGACGATAACTGGCAATGACAGGCATTCCCTGTAGACCATCTCACTAGAGCGTACGCATCCCTGCTAGCCCTATATTACTCACGTCTAGAGAAATGGTCTTTTGGGCAAAAGGGAAAGGGGGAGGGGGCAAAATACTGGAGAGAAAGCGACTCCCCCCCCCCCCCCCCTCTCTCTCTTTCTCCACTGGCGCAGGGTATGATGGGAAGAGAGGCAGTGGGCTGAGCTAGCTTGCTACACATGTATGTTTTCAGTATCCAGAAGAAGCGATCGATTACCAGCAGGTACGATTGCAGTACAAACTGAGTACTCCGTACCATCAACTCATTCTCTCCACCTCTCGCTTTGTCATACATGCATTTTCAAGTTGTAAACCTCCTTTGGTCATGGATGATCTCGACCGCGGTTAACACTCTATGCACCCAACAAACTGCTTCGTGCGTCCTTACGATCAGCCTTGACGAGGTTAAGAATACCTTACAGCAGGATGTGAAGCAGGCCAGCCGGCCAACCGATTGACCGATCCTATGCCCGAAACACAGAAGCATGATTATCATTGACTGCATGCTTATACTCATAGTTCTCAACGTCCTCAAACCTTCGACTCCGTATAACTAAGTTGCTTACTGCCTCTTTCACTACGTACTCTTTCTATCTAACTAGCCTAGTCAAGTACGGTCGGTACCTTTTACAGTATTTGCATCGTATCTCGGTAGGCAGTCATTCTATACCATGGATCTGACCATTGGTTCGCCGCTTCGTGGCCGAGCTTACCCATGCTTGATTCTTTCTTTTGAACCTTGGGTACATTGAGTGGGACCCGCGGCCATCGTGGAGACAACTTGTTCGAACCTGGAACACACACGCCTGTCATCCATCCACCATTATTATTATTGTTGTTGTTAATACCTTTCTTTTCATTTTTTTTTTTTTTTTTCTTTTCTTTTTTCATATCTCTTTTCGGCGGCGGCGGCTGCTGCTGCTGCTGCTGCTATGCTGCCCTCGCCGCGGCTTCTTCTCTTCCTGCTTCCGTGGTCCCTTCAATCGGTAACGGTCTCGGCTGCCTAGTCTCGGCAGGTTCATGAATTTGTTGTTCAGTAATATATACGGCAGTACTGTGCTTATCTAACTCTAGACCGATGTATTTTGGAACGCCTTTCGGAGATTATCTGCTGAGGATAGTGAGAGCTGAAGAACATGGCGCGAACGAGCTTGGAAAACCCCCAGACAAAAGCAAAGAGTGCCAGCCTGTGCTTCTGTAGATACAGGCACCATCTACTGGAGATACTACTAGGTAGGTACTGTACAGTACTCCGTACTAAAGCATTCTCTCCGTCTCCGTGGCTAGTATTGTATCCTCCTCCAATTAGGTCAATAGTCTCAGCATCAACCCGGCAGCGCAGGACGATCGAATGACTTACAGCAGCGCGCGATCCATCCGTCCCAACAGTTCACCGTGTGGCCCCTCACGCGCCGCCCGGAGTCCAAAGTCACTCTCACGGTCTCACCACCTTTTTCCTTTTTCCTTCTTCCTTTTTTCATTTTTCCTAGAGGGCTTCTTCCTCTCCTTGACAGATGCTCATAGTATTATGCTTAGTATTGTCCTGGAGACTTGACTTGGTTTATCAATTTTTCTCTCATTTCCTCCTCTTATTATTGTCTCGTGATGATCTCCTCTTGCCCCATCGTCTCCCGAGTGAGATTGGCATGCGAGTTTTGAAACCTCTACCTGGATCATTCTGATCTTCATTTACAATCGTAATTAGATGTATATGTAGATATCATTAGGAGTTCACATTGCGTTTTCCAAATGCGATTGATGGATGAAAGTGATCGGCTTCTGCTTCGCTCGCCAGCAATTGTTTCTTAATGGCGGCTCAACCCTGCAGAACTTGCTCGGGCTGCTTTGTCTGTCTAGACTATTTGTCTACCAGGCTGCTGCTACTCAGAAATCCACCTGCAAATTCGGGTACCTGACGTTGCCATTATCAAGCATCAGCATCAATCCCGACAATACAGCTACAGTTACAGGTACGTAGCAAGTGAACTCTCCTTGATGTGTCTATCAGCTTATTCCATACCTCTGTCTGTACACCCCTGCTATTGTTTTGTTTTGTTTTGTTTTGTTTGTTTTTCGCTTTTCTTGATCCTTCTGTTCCATTTGCCGCCGAGGGCCCTGGATCCCTATGGTATGGGTACTGGGATCGCGCATCACGTTTCTTCATTTGATCTTGTCATGCTCTACCGCCTGCTCTCTTGCCATCGAGATTTGGCGCCGTTCCCCCTTTCTTCACCCTTGGGTCGGCAGCCAATCTGAAGCCAAGGTGCATGCACTTCCTAGCCCAAACGGTGGTTCCTGCCCGGCGTCTTGTTTAGCTCATCCGGCCGATTGGTCCTTGCTTCGTGGCGGTTTGGCGGCATTTGCGCTGTCTGGGCTTGACGCTGGAACTTCTGGACCCTGCGAAAAAGACGAAGGGTATTGAAATCGGTAGTTGGTGCTCTCGTCCATAGTTGAAAGGGTAAAAGAGTGAGTGAGAGAGTCAGTGTGGGTGAGTAAGTACAGTACTAGCCGCAACCGCCGCCGCCGCAGGAGCAGTAGCAGCACCAGCAGCACCAGCACTAATTACCACTTAACCACTTAACTACCTACCACTTACCACCACCCGGCGGCGGCGGCGGCAGCAGCAGCAGCAGCAGATCCCACGGTGTATCTCTCCGCTCTTCCGCACGACGCACGGTTCTTGTCCCAGAAAATCCATCCCACTCCTTCTCCTCTTCTGCTGCTCGTTTTGAGTTGCGGGATCCACATCTGACTGCTAGCATTCATTCCATTTTATTTTTGATGCTGTCTGTCGTTTTTATTTTGTTCCACTCCATTTTTATTTCAGTTGATATTATTTACTCATCTTGTCATGTTTCTCTTTCCAGTTTGATTATTTCCATCTGAAGTCTTTTTCCTTTCTTTCTTTCTTTCTTTTTTTTTAAATTTTTTTTTTATTTTTTATTGTTTTCCCTCTTCTGATTTTATGACTTTCCCCCCTCTCAATATCTTGTTCCTTCTGATTTCTCCTTATCCGATTTCCTAAATTGCCCTTAGATTGAATTCTTGCTTTTCGCTTTTTCGACCCTTTCCCTCGGATGTTGATTTATTATTGCTCTTCTTGCCCGATCAGAAGGCGACAGTTATAGTGACAGCCAGCCCAGCGATCCACTACCTAGTCCCTCACTCAGCTTCTCTTCAATCGCCCTTCCCCCCCCTCTTCCTTCTCTTTTTCCATCAGTCCCGACAATTCCTCCACGGGCCTGTGACTTGCAAGAAGCCGATATCGGGACAGAAACCCTCCCAGAGAAACGATCGCCTGCGACGGATCATAAGAAACCGGACCAAGAAGAACGAGGTTGCTCAGCACATCCGGACCAACAGCGCGTCAGAGACATTTCGAATCTCGCACCCGACTGCTTGCCTTGCAGCTTCTCTTACATTCCCGCGCAGCAGGTCTCAAGAAAGAAACTGATCTCTCGAGCCCGAGTCAAAGACACGTGCCGGTATGTGGTGTATCTCTTCTGGTTTTCTCGACTTCTCTTGATCTTATTTTCTTTTGGCTTTTGGTTGCTTGCCCCTTCTTTCCATTGCTTTTTGGCCCTGGTGAAAATTGGTCTTTTGAATTGGGTTGGGATTTTGGCTGTTGCAGCGGCTTCTTGTTCCTTGCTGCCCAGCCGCCTCACCTCGGGGTTGTGAATGGTCCTGCCATCGATGAGGGTACTGGAACTACTGCAGAGAGACTGGGCTGTCTTGCTCCACATGCATCGAAACAGCTTCAGAGATCGAATGTAGTAGTTCTGGGAGAGGATCTGAGAAAGCTAGTGGTCCCTATCCTTCTTTCTAGAATCTAAGAAGGTCGGGGTGGCTTCAAGCAGAACCATCCACCCATCCATCCATCCCTTTCATTTGCATTCCTATCTTGTCATCATTTTTGTCTTTGGGGAGGGGGGGGGGTAGTAGGGGCGAGGTGTTTCGGTTGCACCCGTCAGCCCCGAAGATCCTCAACCGTCACTCATCATTTACCTATTGAACCTTTTTTGGGGCCTATTTTTTTTCATTTTTTTTTCATTTTTTTTTCCCTTTTTTTCCTCTTTTTTTCCCTTCGCCTGGTTTCTTTTTTTTTATTTTGTCTCCCCCTCCTACCTTCCCGCACCCAGACCCGATCTGGCTGTTCTCTTGACCATGATAGAGCCATCAATGGGCGGGAGCCGTCTGTGACCACCGGTTGACTTTCCCCACCCTTTCCAGCGCTATTCTTTGACTGTTCGACTTTAGCATCATCAACACCATCATCATCAGCTTCAAGCAGTTCCAAGTTCAAGTGAGTTTTTTCTGTTCTCCTTCTACAAGCACTCCCTCAATTGTATTTGGTGCACTTGTTTCATCCTTATTTTCTTTCTTTACACATGTTGTTGGACCGGTGTAGTTTCTTTTTATTTGGCTTCTCCCTTGATAATTTGCTTTTTGCTTGATTTCTTTTCAATTTCCTCACAATAAGATTCCCAACCATCGTCATTTCCCTTTTGGGCCACCTCAGTGCAGAAGGAGAAGACGAAGAAGAGGAAGAAGAAGAAGAAGTCTACAGGCGGTCCAGAAACCCTCCCCCGGCGGCTGCAGAGAACATCAGGCTTAGCCTGCGTTTGCTGGCCGGCCTCCTCTCCCCCCTCCTCTCCTTCCCTCTTCCCCTCACCCTCCTCCTCCACCTCAATCCCAGCCTCCACCTTTCCGTCCATGATCTGCCGCGGCACTAGTCGCTGCAGCAGTCAGTCAGTCAGTCAGTCATCCAGTCATCTGTTTATTTTGTTCATTCACTTATTCATCCTACCTAACTTATCTTTTCGCGTTTCTTCTCTATTCATCTCCCCTCCACCGCCTTCTCTCCCCCCTCCCTTCGGTCCCTTCGGGGTTGGTCATGATCGCCCACGTCTGGATTGTCTCAGACTTGGGGCGGTTATTTTTCGTCCTTTTTCGTCCTTTTTCGTCCTTCACTCTCATTTCCACTTCTTCTTCTATACTGTTTTCTTTTCCTGGCTGCTCTGATCTCATTTTCCCTTTTTGGGATTTATGCGATAATTTCTCCTGCCCCCAAAATCCTCCCAAAAGAGAATTAGTCGCAACCTGTCTGGATTGTCACTTGTTCCTCTGACCTTTTCCTACCTACGCACTCTCACCTTATCCTAATCCTCACTCACCCTCTTACCTCTTCTTCTGTCACCTTCCCTCCTCCTCGATCCTTCTTTTGCTGGATCTGCTTCCTTGGTTCAGATTTCTATTTTTTCCCTACTTTCTTCCCTCCCCACCCTCCCTCTTCCCTCCACCCTCCCCCTCCACCCCAAACCCAATTCGGCACTCCCTTGGCGGCCTTCGTTAGTGTGCCATCCCTTCCGTTTGGCGCCTTCTTATACATACATCGGACCTCCATCTCTCTGCCGCTACCTTCTACAAATCCTCCCCTACTTCCAAACTGACAACTCTCTCTCCCTCTCTCTTGTCCTTTGATGACCTTATGTGGATGACCTGAATGTTTTTGTTCTTGCTATCTTTACTGTCTGCTTCCACTTGTCCTTCTTCTTTTGCACCCTCAACTTGCAATCATCTTTCCCGCGTCTTCACGCTCGGTTGTTGACCGTGTTCTACCTATAGCCCCAAGCATACATCAGCATTGCACCCGCCGCACGCAACGACTTTCTACGACCCGTTACGACTCGTTTCTATTCTACAGCACACCAACTTCTCTTTAGTGTCTATCATCCCCGAAGACACTCGACGTTGGATGCTGGACTGTCACGTCGTTTTCTCCCTCCGTTTTGCTTATCACGACTTGAAACGAGACCCATGATTGTGTGCTTCTGAATCGGCTGAGCGTTTCCCCCCCTAAACCATACGCAAGCGCTTGTTGTCTATCTATCTTCCTTGGGCTTGCTTGTGAGAATCAAAACCCTCTCACGTCTTCGGATTTAGATTTCTGTCCGCAAAGTCTCTGCATAGCGATTTCCTTGGTCCCCGCCAGTGATCTCAAGCGTTTTATGGTTACGATTGCCCACGAGCCTGCCACGATTGCACATTATCGAATGTCCTGCATTGCCTGCTAAAGCTATTCTATCTGCACTTGCATTGACACTTAAGTCGGTGTTTATATCTGCGGACCCTGCACAAGTCTATCCTGAGAGAGTCGCCCCGGATACCTTGCACGTTCAATCAGGAACGAGCTCAGTGCCCGAAGTGCCGACTGATTTCAGAATCCAATTCATCGAAGAAATAAACAAACGCTAAGAACGAGAACACAGACAAGCATTTTCCCTTACGCTTTCTCGGCACGCCGGACATATCTTACAGTCCGACGTTCTACCGCACTTCCTCACTACCATTATTAGAACCGTTACCCCCGTCAACCGAAAAGCTGGAGCTACCGTCGATCTCGCAGGTCCACACCAGAGGTCCTGTTGATATCCCTTGGTATAACCACCACGCCGCAGAGAGACCTCTGTTGTCTGGTGACAAGCTTCCGGCTCTCAGTATTCCCACGGCCTCGCAGGCCATCTCGGGCCAGTCCTACCGGGCGAGCTACGACGACGCCTCCGCCGCCGCCCTGGGATCCAACAACACCAGCGCGCGTACCAGTCTATCAGGTTCCGCGCCCGGGGGTAGTGATACTCGAAGCCCGCCAACATCCTCGACCGACCTCACAACGGCGGCAAACCAGGGTCGCGTTTCGCTGGACGGCTCTGCACCCCAAGAGTACTCGCTCGCACAGAATCAAGTTAGCGATAGTTACTACCAGAATCCAGCCCCGATCAGCAGCATGAACCAGACGCAACCATACATGGACGTTCATTCCTCGCATTTGTCATCTGGTCAGCCCTATGCCTCGCATGCTGCCACCGCTGGGGGTATAGCTCACTACCCGCAATACCACCAGCAGCCGCCGGTTCTGCAGCCTGCATCCACAACATATGGGCCGGCCAGCTCTTATGCCCAGTATGCCTATCCAGGCGGCGTAACTTCCTCCCAGCCTGGTCTCCAGCCCCCAACGACATCTCTGAGTGGCCAGGTTCCGGCTCAATTGCTGCCCCTACCCGGTAAGTAATCCTGATAGGTTGCCTTTGATCGTACATACAGAAACCCTAACTGATCCCGTCGAACCAGCAGTGACAAGCCATGCGGTGGCAACTCAAAACTATGGCAATTCAACCGGTGCCCCTGCGCAAGGCTTCGTGTATGATCTCACCGGCCAGATCGCTCCGCCGGGATCCAAGCCCCGGGTGACCGCTACACTGTGGGAGGATGAGGGAAGCCTCTGCTACCAGGTTGAAGCCAAAGGGGTCTGTGTTGCTCGACGTGAAGGTGAGCTGGCGCACCTCGTAATCGGTTTAGCGAATATAAAGAACCTCATCTTTGGCTAACCCTACTCTGCAGACAACTCAATGATCAATGGCACAAAGCTTCTGAATGTGGCAGGAATGACCCGTGGTCGTCGTGATGGTATATTGAAGAGCGAAAAGATCCGTCATGTCGTCAAGATTGGCCCTATGCACCTCAAGGGCGTTTGGTACGATGATCCTGCTCTAGCAACTTAGCTCTAGTCATTACATGAGCGCTGACCATCTCTGGATATAGGATTCCTTTCGAGCGGGCCCTCGAGTTCGCTAACAAGGAGAAGATTACGGACTTGCTGTATCCGTTGTTTGTTCACAACATCGGAGGACTGTTGTACCACCCAACAAACACAAGCAGAACTAATTTAGTTGTGCAAGAATCTCAGCAGCGGCGCATGGAGGGCTCTCAAGCAGCCGCACGTACGTCTCAGGGACCTCAGCCGCCTACTTTGCACCATCATCATCATTCTCTGCAAGCTGGTGTGCCGTCGCACATGGCTCAACCACCCACAGTGGCCTCGCAACAAGGAGGAAGGCCGGGGCTTGATCGGGCCCATACTTTCCCCACTCCTCCTGCGAGTGCCTCGAGTCTCATGGGTATTACCAACTCAAACACCTCATACGACTGGAACAACCAAGGAATGCCATCTGGTGTGCCCAACTCTCAGCCGCTTTCCATCGACACGGCTTTGAGCAACGCCCGCTCGATGCCAACCACACCAGCTACAACTCCCCCAGGGAATAACATGCAAGGAATGCAATCGTTTCAGGGTCAATCAGGCTATGACTCCAAGCCCTATTACTCTGCCGCGCCGCCCTCTCACCCTCACTATGCATCGCAATCGAGCGGCATGGCACCCTACGGGCAGACGATGTCCTCTACCCCTTATCTGAAGAGTGAACCGTACCTGAAGAGTGAGCCGTACCTGAAGAGTGAGCCATATCTGAAGAGTGAAATGGGCCCTCCCTCAAGCCGTACGCCGGGCGCACAGCAGGAGGGAGAGTCGACTGATGTCAAGCCCGAACGGTATACCCAGAGCAATGGGCATGTGGCCAGCGCTGGAAATGAGCCTGTTGCAGAGCATGAGTCGGAATATGTGCAGCATGACAATTCCGGCTACAATACCAGCCGCGGCTCATACACCTATACCACCAATCCATCTGTGGGCAGCCTGACCGGAGACCATTCTCAGCTCACACCCGAAATTACGGGCTCTCCTACACAGCAGAATGGCTCCGGGAGAATGACCCCGCGCACCAGTGGTGGGCCACCACCTTGGGGCTCTGGGTACAGTACCCCCCCGCGCCCTGCGGCTGCTAGTAGTCTCTACAACATTGTCAGCGACACTCGCGGAACGTCTAACAATGGTGCCACCTCGGACAATTACTCAGTCCCTAACCCGACCTCGGGATATTCAACTGGTCTCAATGGCTCGATCGGTTCCACTAAGCGGATGAGGGAAGATGACGAGGTGGACCGAATCGCCCGCCCCGACAGTCGGGGCCCCGACTTTGAGAGTAAGCGGCGCAAGACGCTTAGCGAGACTTCTGTCGGAGGGCCTGTTGGCGGTGTTACTCTTGGACTGCAGCCCATGAAGGCAGGGGGTGTCATGTCTCGTCGTCGGTAACCGGTGCGGGCCCTGAAGGGAGACAACCGCGAATCAAGGGAGAAAGAGAAAAACAAAAAAACAATCACGAAAAGCACAATCTTTTCTTTAGAGAAAAGACAAAATGTTTTCTTTGAAGGGTCTCTCTATCGGCGTGTACTATGGGGGGTTCACTATTTTTCGCCTTTATAATAGACCTTCTCTTCGGCGTGGTTGCTCTGAGTGTGCACCAACCACTTGTGGGGGACCCTCACTGCCACCACCGAAGCAGCATTTATTTTCGGCTTGTTGAGTGTCTGCTGTGGCAACCTGTGCCCGACTGGGCCCAGGTAATGTCATTCGGCAGGTTAAGGGAGATTATGCATGCATTTGTGGGCCTCGTCAAGACCCAATTTTTCAATCATTTAATGTCTTTTTCTGGAAGGTTTACGCATGAGGATCTTGCATGGTGGGTCGCCGCGGAACACAGTCATCATGGGCACTGTGTCTGTGCGGAATCGGGGGGCAATAGGGATGGTCAGCGTTTTGGTGTGTGGTTTTTGGTCATTGTGTTGGTTTGCGCATTGTTTCTGACCGGCTATATTTAACGACCATGATGACACGAATTTCCTATGACGAGAATTTTGGACAATATTGTTTGTGGCCCAGCCCTTTTTTTTTGTTTTCTTCGTTCATTCCCTCCATTCCTGCATCTCCAGGGACTCAGCCGACTTGAGTCGGTTCCTGGTGTTCACGTGTTGCGCATTTGTTTTATGTTACATGTATGGGCATCTAAAACTCCTTGGATTCCGTCTCCAGCCTTTGATTGTAGTTCTCTGGGGTTCGATGTAGATTGTTGAGTTGAGTAGCTTGGTAGGAGAGAGACGGATCTCAACCACGTTAGACCCGGAGGCCTGACTGAGGCAGTAGATCACGTGCACGCGAACGATATAGTGACTCGGCCTTGAGAAGGGGTGGTCGCGGCGACCAGAACTCTATTTGCTGCAGGCGCCTCAGTGATGCCTAGGAACTAACCCGGGAACTTACCAGATCAGCGAAAAGTCCATGAAGGAAAAGTACCTTCTTCTGCTGGATGTTCTTCTGGGCGGAGATAGCTACTGTGAACAAGTTGCACTAGTCACGCTGGCTGGACCCATCCGACTGCTTATACAGTGAGTGGTAAGTTATGTGCTTCTGAAACATGTTGGCTACCAGTGCAGGATGATTGCTAGCTATTGCGACTGCATAAATCAATCAGTGTGCGGCGACTGCCGCCGCCCAATATACAGTACATGTACAGTATAGCAGTATAGCGATGATACACGGGGTAGGTGAAGTAAAGTAGAGTATGTATGTACGTCCATGCCATTCGTACATGCAGGGAAGTTGAACGAAAAGAACCGTATGAACTCTCGATAAAAACCGTCAATGTCATGGAATGGTGAGTAGGTGGGAAAGGAATGGAATACAAGAGATGAAGAAGGCAAAAAGTTGGAGGAAGAAACAAGAAATTTGCTGCATGTACCTGACATTCCACCTGAGGATAGAGGGAGAAAAAATGAAAAAAAAAAAAAAAAAAATAAACAAAATAAACACCTACCATAACCTGGCGTGGAAGACAAGTCTGTTGCGCTGAGCCCCGGTCGCGCAGATACCGCGCTTGGATTTAGTATGTCTGCTGTAGAAGCTGCTGTAAATAGTTGTAACTCACCAGTAGTGCTTCCTCCGCAAACGCTGTCAATGACGACCCAATATCGGATCGATTGTAGATAACGCAATTAAAGAAAGGTGTAGCATCCCCGGTGCGGCGCTTATTCAGTCTGCTTGGCGATCTCTTCATCTTGCCGCATCTGCTTCAATTGTTTTTGGATTTCTTTGGCCTTTTTGACTCCGAAGCCGTCCGTGTAGATCTCCCTCACGGATTCCAGGGGCATGTTGTGCACTTCGGCATAGCAGAAGACCACAAAGAGCCATCCCAGGAAGCAGATCCCGGCGTAGAAGCCAAAGGCTCCGCTTGGGGTCATACCCTTCATCATGGACAGGAACGTTGATGAGATGATGATGTTACAACCCCAGCAAGTGACTGTGTTGACCATGGTCCCGAGTGCCCGCACCTCTAGCGGCAGGAACTCGGTACCAACCCACGAGATGGGAGCGACGCCAGAAGAATAGAAGGCAATGTAGATGATGAGGGCAACCAGCAGGACGATACTCGCCCAGGTCATCTCACGAGGACCGGAAAAGCTGAGGTCCGAGTTGACAGGGATCCAATGGAAGACGACCGATACGACAACTAGAGAGAGAGACTATAGAATAAAACTCGGCGTCAGGAACGCAAGCAAATATGCAACAAGTGAAGTCAGCAGAAAGGACCGCTTACCATCCCTAGAAGTGTGACAAGCAGCATTGATCGTCTGCCAAATCGATCAATGAAGGCGAAGTTGGGGAAGCCAAAGATAAAATTCGTTGCCCCAACCACAATGGATACGGCTGTGGCTTGGTTGAAACCAACCAGGGAGAAGAGTGTGGCAGAGTAGTACATCAACGTGTTGAATCCTCCGAGTTGTGAGACTGACGTGCGTCAGGGTAGACTTTTTTTCAAGGTCAGGAGACAAGAGAAGGACGTACCGGCCATAACGGAACAGGCAGTGATCAAGGCGCGTAGGTTTTCTCCCACGGTGAAGAGCTGTTTGGTCTGCCACCACAGACTCTTATCTGCCACCGAGACCGAGGACTCTTCAATACTATGTCGAATTACCTGGATCTTGGCGGCAACCTGCCGATCCGTTGCCCGAGGGAATATCTGCGCGATGACCTTCTTGGCTTCCTCGTCTCGGCCATGGGAGACCAGCTGTCGGGGTGTCTCAGGGCAGAGTGGCATTGTAGCTGCGAGGGCAACAGCTGGTACAGCACCAATAGCAATGGTATATCGCCATCCTTGGGAGACGTTGGTAAATGCAGCTCCCAGGGCATAGGAAATGAGCTGTCCAAATGTCACACAGATGTTGTCAAACACGATCATTCGACCGCGGTACCGGGCTGGAGCCATCTCTCCAATGTAGAGAGGCACGATCATGGCTGCCTCACCTACACCAAAGCCAACGATCAATCGGCCAACCACCATCTGTGCCAGAGAGAAGGATGCAGCTTGCAAAACCGTCCCCACGAAGAAGACAGCACAGCCAACGTAGATGGCTAGCTTGCGCCCATACTTGTCGGAGGTCAAGCCAGCGAGGACCGCACCGATGAGGGCCCCCCCAGAGGTGATAGAGGTAATCAATTCCTGGTCACTGGTCGATAATATCTGGCCCAAATCATCTCCCAAACTGACAAGCACGGCCGAGATGACACCAGTATCGTAGCCTGCAATAGCCCAGACAAGAAGTGGTCAGTACATATGCTGAACGCAAGGGAGACTGAAGCTCGGGAGAGGAAAATAATTCCATTGCTGCTTTTGCCATACAGCACGACGGGGTGCTGGATATCATGCTCACCAAACAGGAAACCCCCCATAGACACAGTGCACGCTATCAGCCAGATAGCTTTGCCGGGCACCGTTGTCTCAATGGAGTCATCCAGGCCGTCACCGACCACCAGATCCTCGTCATGAAACGCTTGTGGCTTCAACTCGTCGTTTGATGACTGTTTAGGAAGTTCTTCGGCGGCAGCCATCGTAGAATGAGAGTAGAGTAGAATACTGTGTGCTCTTGAGTAGTCTAGGTTGAACAATCCCAATGGATCAATCTACATTCGGCACAGAGACACCTTGACCAGGACTAGGAATAGACCAGATTGACGAAACCCTTGGGCTTATTTACGCTGAGCATCGTTGGCTGGCCGTGAGGGGGCAGCGACATCATTGATAGTATCCATGCTCATTGCCCCTCAGATGGATACAGTTTCGGGTATTGCTTCATGGCTCGGCACGGTTCCATGGTTGACAGAATACCCCAGATTTCCCCAGATGCCTGTTACTTGCTCAATATCGCGGCGATTTGATTCGCTGCTTTGCAAACCAGGGTCATGGCTCTCAAATGCCGCCTGAATTCTCTTCGTCGATCGAGGACTTTGGGGGCACCAGGGAGACAATAACCGGGACTGGGCCTCAACCAAAGCTACGCCTCCCGCTTTTGAAGAAGCCGGCCTCGGTGGATTGGTCTTGATTCGTCGTTGAGTTCAACGAGGCTTTTTATCCCGGAGAGGCTTAAACTCAAGGGGAAATTTTTACCGCTCTTGCTGGTTGCCACGAAGGGTAGTTTTCCCCGACCTGCTGCTTGCGTTGGGGATCGATGGCGATGAGGTTGCGAAAAGTGGGGATGGAGAAGAAAAGAGGAGACAGATGATGACATGGTCATCTACCCCATCACAAGCGAGACCCTTATGGTACTCAGCCATGGTTTCACTGTACGGGCAAGTCGGTCTCTGATTTCAGGAGAATGCTCAGCACCTCGTCGGATACTCAAAGCTGTGCGAATGCCACTTCTTGCTTCCTCTGAGGTTATAAGTAGCGCCTCCCAGCACCCTGACAAGGAGTTCAGCTGGCATACAATTTGAGTCGGGCTTGATCTTCGCAGACAAATAGTCTCCCCCTGGGATTCGATCACCCTTTCTTCATTTTACAGACCTTCTTCAACCGAGAGAGCCGTGGAAACCATGGCCACCGATATGTTGTCTGTGTTCAGCGTTGCACCATATGCTTTTGTGGTCGGGCTGGTAGGCATCTCGTATCTTTTCATTTGGCCATTTATGCAGTACCTCCGCGATCCGAAAGGTAGGCATCAGGGATACCAAACTCATTGATGCTCTGAACCGCTGACCTGTTCCAAGGGCTGCGGAAATATCCTAACCTGACTCCCATCTCCGGGATGTCCGCGATCCCCTTCATGTTCATGGCTTCACGTGGATTCCGCTCTCGCGAGCTGATGGAGCTACACCGGGAGAAGCCCGTTATCCGCACAGGCCCCAATATGCTGTCATACGGAGACGTGCGCGCCATCAAGGACATCTATGGACACAACACCAAGTGCATCAAGGACCCGTCGTATGTGATCACGGCAGGCACTCACTACCATTTGGCCGATGTCGTGGACAAGCCAGATCACGCCCGGAAGCGCAAGGTTCTATCGTTGGCATATGCCTTGAAGAACCTGGAGACATGGGAGCACAAGGTCAGCGATAAGTGCGAAAAGGTGGTCGCACACTTTGACCGTGTGTGCACGGCAGCTCCGTCCGCAGCGGTGGCAGCGGGAAAGCAAGCCCCCGATCGAGGTGAATTGACTCTGGATTTCCGAGCGTGGACAAACTTTTTCACTTTAGATGCCATTGCCGACATTGGTCTGTCAGAGAAGCTGGGCTTCCTAGACCAAGGACATGATCTCTGCGTGGCGGAGCGCAAGGATGGTAGCACGTATGAGGTGTCCCTGCGTGAGGCTCTCTACCCTACAGCGCGGAAACAATCACTCATCCTCTGGAACTACGAGTGGTATCCGACCCTCAACCGGCTGGTGAACGTGATTCCGTATTTCAAGCGCATGCAACAGTCCTCCGATCACTGGGACAACATCATCTGGCGTCGCGGAACCGAGCGACTGCGACGGTACGAAGAAGGCGAGCGACTGGATGACTTCTTCCAAGCATTGATGGAGGACAAGAACGGCCGTGCCAACCAACTTGAATGGGGCGAGGTGCTGGCTGAGGTCAATATCATGATGAACGCGGGCAGCGTGACCACCGCCATCGCCATCACCAACGTGATGTACCAGCTGCTGAAGAACCCCGAATGTCTGCAGAAGCTGCGGGCTGAAGTGGATGCCGTCCTTGACCCGGACGAGATCATTGCGCCGTATGACAAAGTGAAGCACCTGCCTTATCTACGGGCATGCCTGGACGAGTCGCTCCGTATCTTCCCACCCACTTCCCACGGATTGCCGCGCGAAACGCCACCGGAGGGAATGGAGATCCTTGGCCAGTGGGTCCCAGGCAACACCTCCGTGAGCATGTCGGCATTTGTGGCTCATCGAGATGAGCGAGCGTTCCCCAAAGCCGACAAGTACATCCCGCAGCGCTGGTTGGGCGAGGAAGGGAAAGCATTGCAGCCGTACTTCATCGCTTTCTCAGCTGGCGCCCGTTCATGCATTGGACGCAACATCTCGTACCTAGAGCAGGCCAAGATTCTGGCGACTTTGGTACGCCGGTATGAGTTCTCTCTGCCGTCTCCGGACTGGGAACTGCAGCGAGAGGAGACAATGAATCTTATCTTGGGTGATATGCCTGTTAAGATTTGGCGGCGAGAAGTACCGGTTGATGACTCGTAGTCTTGACTTTCTGCTCCAAATGTTTTACATCTTCTCACTTACCTTTTCACCTTAGACTTCGAGGCATACAATAACCCAATTGATGATGATTGATGACTTTCATTTTTTTTTCTTGCCCCACACAAGCCTGTTGCATAGATAGACCGTAGTGTAACTAATGGAGATCGAAGATTGTTTCCTGCAGTAACCCTTCGATGCCTGGGTGATGTTGCACCAGTACAGTGCATACTCGAGCGAGAAAGGCCAGTTGGGGAATGGCCTGTTGTGTAATCTTGGTTTGAAAGATCGACGTGCACGGACATAGCTCGATGTCACAGAATGCTGCATGTAATATGCATGGGCAGGATTTGCAAGGGTTCCCCGTGGGGATGATGATGGATGGTGGATGATGGAGAGGAAGCCCGAGGCGAAATAAAGTGAGTCTGTCCCAATCGAGTAAACGGACTGGCACGGGGTGCGTGGAGGCCAAGGGAGGAAATATTGTCCGTGAGCGGGGAATATCTCCCTTTCCTGACCGTGTAGAATACTTCCATTATCATACACTACTTACACACTACACACTATGCACCCACCAGCAGGGACAAACACATGCTCTTCAAACCCCCTTCTTTTCCAATTTTGATATCTCTCGCCTCCCCCAACTCACCCCGCCTTTTGCCCATCCCCCCCGTCCACTCCACTCCCACTCATCGACCTACAGCATCAATTCAAACCAGTAGGATGGCTTGAGCGAAATCAGGCTGCGGTGAGGCTTCTATAAGAGCATTGCTTTCCACCTCGGGGACCCTCTATGATCAGACACCATCGTCCATCACCGTCCACTCGCCTAGCATGAGTACCCCATGGCATCTTTCGCCTGAAGCCTTGCAACAGCTGGCCAGGTGCTTGACCCCTACTGGAACCGCCGACTATGCCGCCTTGACGGTCCTGTCGATGGCCGCTGCTACCTATCTATCTCGTGGTGTGCTCTGGGATCAGCCTGACCCCTACCGCCATTTGCTCTATGAGCGTCCTCAATTGAAGATAGGCGGTGCATCCGGCACCAACGCACATCAAGAAACACGCAATATTGCCCAGAAGCTCGCGGAGGCAGACAAAAACATTGTCATCTTCTGGGGCTCCCAGTCGGGGACTGCAGAGGGTTTTGCTCATCGTCTAGCACGCGAGATCGCCCTGCGCTTCCAGCAATCCACCATGACAGCAGATCTGTCGGATTATGACCCAGGTTCAATCCGCGAAATTCCAGCCCCCAAATTAGCCATCTTCCTTCTTTCTACATATGGAGAGGGTGATCCTAGCGACAACACAGCGGAGTTTTGGCATTGGATCCAGAAGGCTCCCGATGGATCACTATCCAAACTCCGCTACTGCGCCTTCGGGCTGGGCAACAGCAACTACAAGTTCTACAACCAAGTCGTTGACGTGGTTGTCCAGGCATTGGATCAGCGTGGTGCTCGCTCTTTGCTGTCTGTTGGCAAAGCCAATGATGCTGAAGGGACCACGCAAGAGGATTTCATCAGCTGGAAGGACGACCTCTTCGCTGCCTGCCGCACCCAGCTGGGTTTCGAGGAAGGCGAAGCTCAGTACCTACCCACATTGACGGTGGACGAAGATGAATCACTCGAACCAATCGACCTCCATCACGGTGTACCAGATGCTCGCGACCCTTCAGGCAAAGTGTCTGCTCAGTGCTCAGCCATACGCGCCCTCCCTGTATCCAGCGCGCGGCAGCTTTTCTCAACGGCGGACCGCCATTGCCTGCATCTGGACTTAGACCTAACTCATCAGCCAGAGTTTACCTATAAAACGGGTGATCATCTAGCCATATGGCCTGGCAACTCCGACGCCGAGGTCGAGCGTCTACTGCAAGTGTTGGGCCGCACGAACCGCCGCAATGTGCCCATTGTGATCCGAGCCGTGGACGCAGCCACGCAAGTCAAGATCCCCACGCCTACAACCCCCGCTGCGCTCTTCCGCTATTACCTTGAGATCGGAGCGTCGGTCAACCGAGACCAAGTTCTGGGGCTGGCCCCGTTTGCTCCCACGCCAGAAGCCAAGGCATTTCTGCTTCGCCTTGGTCAAAACAAGGCCGCCTACGCTGACTTCCTTCGTCGCACTCATGTCAATCTAGGCCGTCTTCTTCAGCTGGCCGCTCCCGATCAGACCTGGACGCAACTGCCGCTGTCCTATCTTGTTGAAACTATATCCCCGCTCCAGCCCCGCTACTACTCAATCTCATCGAGCAGTGTTCTTTCTCCCCGCAAACCCTCCATCACCGTCCTCGTCGCCTCAAACCCCGTCCTCGGAAACCCCACAGAACTCATTTATGGCGTCACCTCCAACTACCTTCTCGCCTTG